CTTCTTTACTTCCACTTGGAGTTGGTCGGCTTCAGATGCATGATGGAGCATTACACTGTGGCTCCCTTTTAAATACATGCTTTGCAAGGAGCTAGGAGTTGGTCGCCTTCAGATGCATTATGGAGCATTACATCATGGCTCCCTTTTAAATACATGCTTAGCAAGAGCTAGCTAATAGTTTTGTTAATTGTTAACTTTGAAAGTGAATACATATTTAAGAGAAGGTCATCCTAGAATCTGGTGAGCAGCTTCGTGTGCAGGCATTTAGATTGAAATTCAGGTCTCTCTTTCTTAAGAACACAAATCTTGAAATGAGATAACAGTCAGTGTAAGCCATGAAAAAAAAAGAAGAATTTATAAATTATCAAGGGGGGAAAGGGGCAGGGAGGTTAGGGAGGGAGGGTGTAAAATGAAGAGCTGATGCCAGGGGCTCAAGTAGAAAGAAAATGTTTTGAAAAAGATGATGACAACATATGTACAGATGTGTTTAACAAAATGGATATATGTATAGATTGTGATAAGAGCTGTAAGAGACCCCCCCCCCAAGAAAAGAACAAATCTTCCATAAGTATTCCACAACTAAACACAATTTCTGAATCAAGGCCACAGGTCCTTTGGGATAGTACCTTTCAATATCTTCAAAGACAAATAGACTTTATGTTGTGTCAAAAATATAAAACAATTTGTTATTTCATTTTTTCTATTTTAAATGTGTACTGCAGTAACATTAGTGGCATATTGTGCAACATCACGGTTGACTCCAAAACAAATTTATGAGCCCACAGAGGCACTTGTACCCCTTAAGCAATAGTTCCTGACTTACCCCTTGCAACTGCCTATATCTAATAGCCACTAATGACCTTTCCTTTCTATATATTTGCTTAGTCTAGATATTTCATATAAATAGAATCATATGTCCTTTTGCAATGGACCTATTCCACTCAGCATAATGTTTTTAAGATTCATCCATGTTGTAGCATGCATCAGACCTTCATTTTTGATTTCTCTCAGTGGTTGAATAATGCCTAATTGTATATGTATGGGGTTTCCATGAGTCAGAATTGACTTTAGAACAACTGGCACTGGTATAGATTATACCACATATTGTCTAAAAAGCAAGTAAGTATCCATCAATTTATCTATTGATGGATACTTACTTGCTTTTTTCTCAATGTTCTGACTATAAAAATAGTGCTGCAAAGAGCAGATACAGTCATACGTGTATCTGTTTGAGTCCTTGTTTTTAAGCATGTTGAGGAAATACCTAGGAGTATGCTTTGGTTCATGGTAATTCTATCTTTAACTTCTTAATGAAGCACCAACTGTTTTTCACAGCTGATGCAATGTTTCACATTCCCACCAACAATGGGTCAGCATTCCAGTTCCTCTACCTCTTTACCAGCACTTTGCTATTATTTTCAGTTTCTCTGATGATAGCCATCCTAGTGGGCATGAGACGGTGTCTCCTTGTGGTTTGGAGGGGCACTTCCCAATGACTAGTGAAGTTGAACATTTTTGTGTGTACGTGCACATAGACATTTCCTTTGGATAAATGTGAACTTTTAAGAACCACTTGGGAAGTTGGCCTTATGGTAAATTTGTTGTTCAAGTCAAAGATTTCACAGGCTGCTGGATTTCATATTGTGTAGGAGCCCTATCCTTACCAGGGCTTCTGGTTACAGAATATGCTTACGACTCAAACATGGAAGAAATGTGAAGGGGTAGCCCACCTGGAGGTCAAGCAAAGAGCAAAGACACAGATGCATAAGGTAGAAAGAGGCAATCTTAGGCAGAGCTAAGTCAAGAGCAATTTCATAAAAGAGCTTCTCTAAGTCATTACATGAAAAACATTTTAAAATTGTGACAAATGGGGGTTTATGTTTCACATCATCAATTTGGCGTCCAACAGTTTAAACCAATTATCAAACACTCTTATTGGGTACCCTTGTTGTTATGTTTGTTATGTGCGACCATAGCGACCCCATGCACACCAGAATGAAACATGGCCCAGTCCTGAGCCATCCTCACGACGGTTCCTGTGCTAGAGCCCATTGTTGCAGCCACTGTGTCCATCCATCCTTTTGAGAGCCCACCTCTTCTGCCCTGCCCCTCTACTTTACCAAGCATGGTGCTTTTCCCCCCGGGGATTGATCTCTCCTGACATGCCCAAAGTATGTAAGATGAAGTCTCGCCATCCTTGCCTCGAAGAAGCGCTCTGGATGTGCTCTTTCTAAGACAGATTGGTTTGTCCTTTTAGCATTCCATGGTATTTTCAATATTTTTTTCTAGCACCACAATTCAAATCCATCAGTTCTTCTGCCTTCCTTATTCAACGGCCAACTTTCGCATGCATATGAGCGGTTGAAAATGCCAGGGCTTGCAAAGGCCTGGGGTTAGAAAATCAAAGGGGAGGAACACATTCAGCATTTCTCAAGCTGAAAGACTGGAAGAAAGAGTGAAGGATTCTATGGGCAGCGTATTGGCTTCGGACTTCCAGAATACTTCATTGTGCACGTGCAGAACTTGTACATAGACCAAGAGACGTTATAAGGCAACAGGGTGCTACGTGATGTAAAATGAGAAAAGGCGTGCATCAGGGTGGCGTCATTTTCCTAGACTTCTTAAACCTGCATGCCGAGCAAATAATACGAGAAGCAGGACTGTCTGATAAAAACATGGCATCAGTATTGGAGAAATGGTCACTTGACATGGGTGATATACAGAACGTCACTTAACGATGGGTGATATACAGAAAATATAACCTTGCTTGCTGAAAATGCATAGGCTTGAAGCACATACTGATAAAGGTAAAAGATTATAACCTTCCGTATAGATTATAGTTTAACAAAAAGAAAACAAAAATTTTTCACAAGTACACTAATAAGTAAAATCATAGTCAAAGGAAATACAGTTGTCAAACGTTTCATTTTACACTCTGCAAAAACCCAAACGAGCATTTCCACTCTGTCTTATAACGTCATTATGAGTCTTGACTGACGCAGTGCCAGTGGGTTTGGTTTCAGGTTGATTTGGTGTTCATGGTGGTATTGTGCTGAGCAACCATCTGCCTGAGTCATAGCCTCACTGGGGCTTCTTATAGTAGCATAGGAATGTGGATTATATATAGTACTGTAGGGCATCATTTGTTGATATTTTCATTCTCAGGTGTTCACTCACAGAGGTACAATGGTATGATTAACTGTTCAAAACACTCCCATATAAATTTTGTTTTCTAACATAAATTGGGGTCTTTGTTTCAAAACATGGACCCAAACACTTTCACTACAGTAGAATAAGCAGATTTGGGAAACAGTCAGATGACATGTCAGAACTGACTTATTGATGGAGTTACTAAAATTCTATCCTCAGCAGGAACTATTTATACATTTATCTTTTTGTTTTGTTTTATTAAATCACGTTATTGGGATTATGCGTTTATCTTATATACAAGATGCTATAAAATGTTTATGAAAATAGAGGGGAGAAAGGGGAACCTATCCCAATGATTGACGCATAGCCCCCACCTACCACCTCAGGGGGACGAACAAGAGAAACATGGGTGAATGGGATTGTGTAAGAAATGAAAATAATAATAATTTATAATTTATCAAGGGGTTGAGAGGAGAGGAGAGGAAAAAAGAGCTGAAACCAAGGGCTCAAATAGAAAGTAGATGTTTAGAAAATGATGATGGTAACCTATGTATAAATATGATTAATACAATTGATGTATGGATTGTTGTAAGAGCTTTAAGAGGCCCCAATAAAATGATTAAAAATAACAAATAAATAAATAAAATAAAAAGTTTGTGGAAAATGAAAAAAAAAAGAAAATGCCAGGGCTTGGGGCAGGAGCGCCTAAGTCCTCAAAGTGACACCTTGGCTTTCCAATACTCTCAAGAGGTCTTCGGCAGTAGATTGACCCACATCAATGTAATAGTGGATTCCTTGATCTCTTGACTGCTGCTTCCATGAGCATGGACTGTGGATCCAAACAGGAGGAAATCCTCGACAATTTACTCCACACCCTTCATTGATCTCTCCAGCTTATGTGGAATATTATCTCCCCCTTCACCCAAGTTAGTGCTTGTCAATCCTCTAGCCCAGTGGCTCTCCACCTCCCTAGTGCTGCGACCCTTTCATACAGTCCCTCGTGTTGTGGTGACCTCCCAACCATAAAATTATTTTCATTGCTACTTCATCACTGTAATTTTGCTACTGTTATGAATTGGGTGACCCCTGTGAAAGGGTCGTTTGACCCCCAAAGGGGTTGCAACCTATAGGTTGAAAACTGCTGCCATTTCCCCCCCTAATCCTCTCCCACTTGATAATCTCTAAAATCTGTTTCCTTTGGTATGAAAGTCTGTCTTGTTTTCCTCTACTTCTTTTTAATAGTACACTCATACAATATTTGCCTTTTGGTCATTGCCTAATTTCACCCAGTGTAATATTTTACCGACAGATCCAAGCCATGACGTGTCCTGTGGTTTCATTTTTTAAAACTTTTTAATACCCTCCTCTACTCTCTCTCTTTTCATTTTTCAGAAACCCAATTCCCTTCCGTATACCTTGGGTTCCTTGAACGCTTAACGCTCTCAGCTGAAAAAGGAAGCATTAGAAATCTGAGCCACCCAGAGGGTCCCTGGAAGACACATTTTGAGATCTGCGTCTGAGCAGCCAGCCACTGGGAAACCCTGAAGAGCTAAATTCTCCTCAGACACACACAGAAATCAGAGGTGGCAAGCAAGTAAGTGACTGGTTTTATTCATCTGTGTCCCCAACCTCAGCTTCTTGGGACTGAGATGTAGCTGCTCTTTGGCCTGAAATTGAAATTTCAAAGTCTAAGCATATGTTTACTCTCTTTGATGCAAGCAATCAAGAACGAAATCTGAACTTTGAAAAAATGCCTATTAATGATTGACAAATAACGGAATTGTCATTGGGTAGAAGGGAATGCAGGAACGAAAAAACCCACAACCCCCAAACCGGGACCTGTGCTCACCTGCAACAATGCTCCCTCGGCTTGTCTGTATCAGTGATTATGAACAGCAGGCTAAATTAGTTCTGCAGAAGTCTGTATATGACTACTATAAGTCTGGGGCAAATGATCAGGAAACATTGGCTGATAACATCGCAGCATTTTCCAGGTAAGAAAATTTGTCATTTTATATTCATCGACAGACACCCATTGCAGCCAAATAAGCTATTCCGCCTTAATTGTAGTGGCGTGTCATTCTTTGTCTAGATAGGTGCTTACTTGAGTGGTGAAAAATGTTGAGCTTGTGAAAGATCTTAGACTTCTAGATGGTTTAAAAAATATTACAAGTCTGTGAATTTTGAAGAGTTGACGGAAAAAGTCAACTCTACTGGTCCTCACCTGGAAGTATGTGGGTAATTCATTTCCTTAGCTCCGAGGAGACTTCTTGCTTTTTCTCTCCATGTTCCAATCAGCGGGTATAAACAGCACTAAGCACAAGATAGCCAGCTTATCTGGCTGAGCCAGATCAGATTGCCACCTCACACGCTCCCATCCCACCCGCTTTCCCCTATCATTCACTGTGATTGCTGTTGTCTAAACTTTCACCTTACATTTCAATTTGTCTATGTAGCATTCATCTTTGAACTTGGCTGTTTCATCTCTCCTCTCAAAAGCTTCATCTCTCTTCCTAAATTAGCTCTTCCCTTGCCTTTCATATTTCAAAGCACAAGATAGCGGGCCTCGTGGTTTATAGGCCCCGTTTGTCATAACAACAAGAAGTGTTTTTTCCTCTCAGCAGCTGCATAAATGCTTTACTCTCGGCAGTGAGGGAACAGGGCCTTCCACACCCCCGAACTCCTTGCCTGTCATCCATCTTCCTCGAGAGCCATTAACATCGCCCATGAATTTCACATGTTCTTATTGGTGGTGATACATTAAAGATCAAAGGCAGGAAAGTTCAAAAGGAAAAGATCTGCTGTCCTTCTTGCTTCCTCCTTCAGCCTAGAACAAAGTCACTTTTCTGTATGAAAATCACCGTTGTCCTTTGTCATCTTGCCATGGCGACTCGCGGTGACCCCCTGTGTGCAGTCAAAACTCACTGCCATCGGGGTCAATTCCAACTCAGCGTCCCTGTATCTGGTGTGTAGGGTAGCACTGCTCCCTGGGGTTTCAGGGCTGTGACCTTTCAGAAACAGACTGTCAGGCCGGGCTGGGTTTGAACTGCCAACCCTTTGGTCAGTAGTTGAACACTAACTATGCCACCCAGGACTCTTTATAGGTAAGTTAGATGAGATCCAACCAGACCAAAGGAAGTGTGTCTTAGCAAGAAGTACTGCTTCATCCCGGAGAGCCCAAACTCCCTTCAAGCCTTGACCCAGTCCTAAATTTTCCCTGAAACCCAAACATGCTCATAAATGCCACTAGGCAGCAATAGCCCCAAAAGCTGTGGCTTTGGGTTGGGTTTTCAGTGCGTGGCGGTGGGGAGAAGGCTCACCTCTATCAGGTGACGTTCTCTGGGGGACAACGGATGCTGTTTGCCTCTCAGCTGCTTGGGAAGTTTTTATTGCAGCAAGCGTTAGGGGCCATTCCTGGGTGTCTGACTTCGCAACGCCTCTTTTGCAGGATAACTGCCGGATGACCCTGGAGTCCTGAGCCTCTTTCTTCTAGCTCGTCACGTGGGACGAAAATTAGCTTTTCTGTCAGGGTTGTGCTGGCTTCGGGTTGATGAGATAAAGGAAATCCATCTGAAGCCTCTCATTCTGATTCAAATGAAGACGCAAAACATGCCAGATCACAGTGGGCACGCCATTTCTAAGACTATTGTGGCATGTACCATACCGCCCCCCCGCCCCCAGCCCACCGGGGGGTTGCCCTAGGTCCTCAAGGACAGCAAAGGGTCCTTTCATCACCAGCGATGATAGCAGCCTCTGCACTGTGTGCTGCCAACCACTTTTTGGAGTTCTGGGGACAGGGACCATTCATGTGACCCCCCTGAGCCATTGCTTGGGAGATGTAGACTTGTGTCCCTCCAAATCAAAACAAAACAGCCGTATACGTTCAGAAAGTCAGATCTAGCCAGAAGAACTAACTGCCTGAAGCTGCCGATGCTCCGTGAGCTCCGGAGTTACAGAGCAGAAGCTTTAAGAGAGCAGCTTGCACGCTTTTTGCCTTTGGTATCTCTGGGGGGGACGGGGGACCCCCCAGTCTATATGTTAATGGTCCAGAGGAAACGGGGTTAGGATCTCCCAGGGACTCTGCCTGATGGGAATGAATCTGTTGTTCT